GCCTGTGGCATGCTGGGGGAGAAAAGAAGGTATCGGATTGATATCGTTATTAGCAGTTACTCCAAGTTGTGGTAGTTGTATCCAGCCATCACCAGTAAAGATAAATCTCATGATGAGTAACGCTGTATTCTTAACACAGGGCAACCAGTGGTTAAAATGCCTCAAAAAGTTTTATATACATATATTGTTACGTACATCACCAGTAAAGATAAATCTCATGATGAATAACGTTGTATTCTTAACACAGGGCAAGCAGTGGTTAAAATGCCTCAAAAAGGTTGTTAAATAAATGGTCAATAATCAACAGTTTTATATACATATATTGTTGCGTACGATATAGCGTGATATAATGTTGTAAATCCCCGTATTAAACCCTGTTGAACCTCAGCTTCGTTGTTTTCTGTTGGGCAGCACTTGGGCAGCTTGTATTCACTGCGTAGGGTAACTGGACAGATTAAGGCTTGGGTTCAATGTGAGCCAATGAGCAGTGATCATGTCTGAACGTTGGGCTTCTGCATGACAACCTCATTTTTATTGACAACGATTGGGTAGAAGGCACCGGAGAATTTTCTGTTTCAGTCCTACGCAGAGCTTTTAAATGAAGTCTATGAAGATACTGCAGTAATATTCGTGACACATGTATATACAGTATATTCAGTACATATACAGTGTCTTCATTTCTATCTTTTTTTCAAGTCTATGAAGATACTGCAGTAATATTTGTGACACATGTATATACAGCATATTCAGTACATATACAGAGTAGTGTCCTCATTTCTATCTTTTTTTTTTCTTCAGTAAAACATTGCTGTTGTGTGTGTGTGTGTGTGTGTTGCATTAGAAAACAATTTCACAGCTAAGCTGCCTCTTTTGTGACAGTACAGTCCATTGCTGAAGGTATGCTGTTCCAGGCAGGAGTTCATGAGAGGAATATTGATCCCAGACAAACATTTAATGTCAGCAATCTGGAGATTCCATAGGTTGCACCAGTCGGAGGCGACTCATACCGATCTTCCATGTCAGCATCTTCCTCGTTTTGGAACATGCTCAGTTTGAGTGGTTGTTATTAGAAGATCCAGTGACAAATAACAAAAAAATAGCAAAAGCAAAGAATTCCTGAGGTTCATTCCTAATCATTTATTAGGATTTTGGGGAATTGTAGGAATCAGACCAAGGCAAGAAATACTTTGCAGACAGGGTTGGTGCCTTGACATGGAGACATCTTTATATTCTTTGCATCTCTATTTAACTATATTGTCTATCGATCTATCTGCTTACCTGCTTGCCCATCCATCCACCCATCCATCCATCCATCCATCCATCCAACCTATCCGTGGACTAAACCCAGTCTTTATGAAGGACAGCATTAGATCATTATTGATCCAAATGATCTCCTGATCTCCTGAAACGTCTTTTACTTTTCAGTTTTTGAATTGAAACCCAAGCGGTGTGAAACTCACGGCAGTTCCTGAGTCTGTAGGTGGAATGTTTACACTTGTTTGAACAAACTCCAAACAGCAGAGAGAAGCTCCTTGATATGAGCACATTTAATAGGACACATGTTTGCGACATGTGCCCGACAGTATCTGACAGAGACACTGTGGCGTCTCCTTCGTGCTGGTAGACTCGTGCCACTACCGTGTGTGTGTGTGTGTGTTTGTAGGCTATCTCCCATGTTCTCTTCAGCACAGCAGGCCACACACAGAGATTCACCCACAAACACACACACACATTCATACACCTGCACACACACACCCCCAGGCACTGGGAGAGGCAGACAATTAAACAGGTCAGCGTGGGGTAACCTAGGCCAGCCTGTGGGGGGCGGTAGACACGCAGCTGGAGGTAGCAGGACAGGCGAGAACAGCAACACCTCAGATGGACATGCTCTCTCTTTCATGGGCAGACACTGAGGACACACACACACACACATACACATGTACACCACTTGCATTCATCTGAGCAGCAGGAGAGAAAGATGATTAAGAAGTTAGACAGTGGAGGAGAGGGACCACTTCTTTTATCCGACCTTAAATCTGAATTGGAACAAAACAAAGTTTTGATAAAAAAAGTAAAAAACAAAATTGTAAAATGTTTTTATTTGTGTGTGTGTGTGTCTTTGTTATATTGTCAAAATATAGGTATATTACAAAATTCAAAACAATACATTCCTACAATAAACACATAAGACACATATAAAAATGTAGATACAAGGAATAGTAGGGAACATTATCCGGACTTGTCCTCTTACTTTTTACTTTTTAAGCCCTTTGTATCTCATCTAGGGGGTGCTGCACTGGTCAAATATTATTGTTATATAAATAACTAATACTTTAACACAATCAAAACATATTTTAAATAAACATGTTATACATTTAAGTTTGGAATTATCATACGTTGAATATTAGCAATGCAACCAAGAGTTGTAAACCTCCAAAAACTGTGGGCAAGAACTTGAAAATGTGTGTTAAAAATGATGTTATACACTGTAACAAAATTATTTTTCAAAATAATTATTATAATTTTTAATATTTGCCCTATATGGACATAGCTAGCTAGGCTATAAGATCAGTCACCAACCACCCTGGCTCTTCTACTTTAAGATTGAATAGCATTTCAGCATCTTCTGGGCTGCACTACTGCCACCTACTGGGTTGAAGAAAAAACAAACAGTTTCCTTGTACGTGAAATGCTAACTGAGAAAAGATAAGACAGTGGGTATTGTCCCTGTGGATGGACAAAACAGATTATTTTGAATGTACAACATTTTACATCATTAACTTTATCCCTCTGCTCCACCAGGAGTGTGTTGTGTTCTTCGGCGAAGATGCTGCAACAATTAAGAGAACAGGTGCCTCACAGTGTCTGAACAAACTTCAGCTGTGGCTCCTCTGTGACTGAAGCAGATTAAAGCCTTTCTCTGTGTTTGCGTGGTAGCTGATTGCCAAGGCAATGCTATTCTTGTTTGCTGTTGCAGCCGAGGCGGAATTACCTCGATTTTGTACAAAATAGTCAATTAAATTAACTGTGAAAGGCTATTTATTTTAACCCGGGGATACTTTTTTCATTTTTCCCCCTCTTTCCTTTCCTTACATAGATGTTTTATGTGAGAGGAAAAAAGGCAACAGAAGAAGAAGAAGAATTGGCAGCAGAACAAAGAGTGAGGAGTCAGAGGACGTTAAAGAGCTGGAGTCACACTGCCATCAGATGGACACAGACCAAAACTGCAGGACCATGTCTGAGTTCAGACAGGTTCAAGTCCAACCAAACCGTAAAATATTTTTGTTTGTTTGTTTGTTTTTTTTGTTTGTTTTTTTAAATTTACTGCTTGATTTTTGTCTCAATTCTCACCATATAAATCTCGTTTCTATTTATCATAAAAGAGAAATTATATAAATATTGTGTGTCTATTTTGTCCAAACGACATTTGTTGTATCCATATATTTTAAACTACAAAAATACACTGTTTTATTCATTTAAATTGATTATAGTTTATATTATCTAATCTTTTTGTAGTCAAAATGTTGTCATCTTCTGTTCAACAGGTTGCAGGTTCAATTCCCACCTGACAGTATCTTTGAACAATATGTTTATGAGAACAGGCGCAGTAGTTACACTGATCAGTCAGAAGGTTTTCAATCAACAAGTGTGACTAGCTGAACACAATCCACATTATAATTTTGGAACAGTTTACTCATTTAATTACTAGCTTCATATACATTAATTTAAATAATGAAGTATAAAATGCCGTTGTAACAAAAATTAGTATTTCATGTAAATACAGGTTCAGTTTTTGATGTAGGATTTTTTTATGCTTTAAATTTTAAGCTTTTAATCATGTATTCCCTTGTAACATCAGGATGGAAACTTCTAATCTAATTTCATGTGGGGTAAAAATCAAATGAATGGTAAAATATTTACATTTACGTGTGTGTGTCTGTGTTTCACTGTGTGACTGTGATTGTAAAAGAGTAAATTAGCTTTAAAAAAAAAAAAGCAAACCGGGCAAAAAAAGGGCAAAATTTAGCATCCAAGACATCAGTGTCAGCACACACACTCACGTACACTTGCACAGTGTTAAATGGGCCGTGTGATACACTGAAGTGGAATGTGTATGACAGTAAGACAGAGAGAATAATTGTGACTGTGAGATAGAGCAAATGATGTGCTGGAGGGAAGTAAACAATGCCACTTCCTGTGATAGACTGCGGAACACTTTCCATCTCATTGGCTTTGAATAATTTTTCACATCTCATGAAAAGTAATTACATCACAACAACTTATGGTGAATGATTTCCTCTTTGTCTGCCTTGTGGGTTTGTCTGTGTGTGTGTACATTGTTTTAGGTTTTTTCACCGTATGTTATGTTGGTAATAGTGTAAATGTCACCTCCAAAAATCTAACACTAACCCAAAAATCAGACAGTTGCCAAACAGAAAAATAGATTTTATTACCAATTAAACTAAGGTTCAAATTTTAAGTTTTAACCCTCACTTTCAGAGCTCAGCATTGTCAAAAACCAAACTGGACTACATCACTGACCTGCTCCAGCTACACACCAGAAACAGGGGTCTGAGGTCAGCAGGTCAGATCCTGTTAAAAATAAAAATTCTCAAGACAATTTTAACAGACTTTTAACTATTTTGTTTTATTGCACATTTTCTAATCAGTTATTTTTTGTCCCCGTTTATGTCATAGTTATTTTCTTTATATCTATATATTCTACCTTTTTATATATTGTTTGGATAGAAAATATATTTGGCTAAGGTTCAGGTGTGCACACTGTATCTTGTTGTCCTGTTGGCTAAAATTAGGCTCCACCCCCTACCATCCACAAATATTTATTACTTTATAATGTAATTACATCTACAGCAGCTCTAATGTCAGGTATTGAACTGTGCCACCTCGAATGATCAAAGCTTTGAAAAGATAAAAGATCTCCTGATCAGAGACTAACATCACATCAAAGTCCTACCTCGATAGCCCATGGACCCTCTGATTATGATAGATCTCTAATTAATAACCTGTGTCAAAAATGTGGCAGTTACAACTTTTATTCTCCAGTGGTTATACTTTATATTTTATAACTTGACCTCATAACCTACTAGGTCAACATTCACACCCACTAACTGCTAGCCCAAGTGGCTATACACTGACACTCGTATTCTTATAAGATGTAGATCCACACGGAATAATACTTGTGGAGTGAAAGGAAGCAGTGTGTTACCACTGATGGGCTTTTAATGTAAGACTTCATCAGCGTTTTCATTAAAGGCACATTATGGACTTGGTCTACTTTCAGTTTAGTCAATAATTTCACCACAATGTGAAGTATAGTTTCATCTGGTCTTAATATTATCCTGCCAACAATTATTTAATTTATCCCTAGTTATGCTGTAAATAAGTGAAGGATGACAACACAGCACTTTGTATAAAACGGCTTAGAACGTGTTCCTTGATGATGACAGATGATGGAACAGTTGAACTGTGAACAAGAGTTGTTTGACCGGGTATTAAACCGAGACTAGAGCCATGCTGGAACTGCAGTGAGGAACACATTCCTGTTCTGTTTCTGAACCTTTCTCTGTTCCATTACATGATGCTGGGAGAAGTGTCACAAGAAAAGTGCACAGTCCTTTTGCCCAAAAACTGCTTTCTTTTGTCAGGTGATTAGAACTTTATCATAGCAACAACTTTGACCCACACTGCAAAATAACAAAAAATAAAATAAAAAATCACCATCATCAAATGACAGAAACAGCAAATATAATATTGAAAGAGAGATGAGGACATTTCCTTTGGCACCCTGGTGCGATGGGCTGAGGACAAAACGCGCTCATTCTAAAATGTAAGTACTTTCGATGTGTGAGTTAAATCTGACGACAGATTTGTTTTAGTTTGTCTTTGTATTTAATTATTTATAGTGAGAGTCACAGCAAAGTTGATTTAATTAAGAAAACATTTTTTTAAGGGCTATTATTAGCACTATAGGATATACAGGGTTAGAAATGAGAAGAACACTTTGGAGATAATGTTATATAGCTGGGGTTGATAGAGTTTGGACATGTGGAAATAAGAAAGGAGAAATATATATTAATATATATTTACCAAATATTTTGTAGGTGAAACTTTTAAGACTTTTTGGAGAGGGATTCAAAAAGTAGAAAAGGAAAAAAATATGTAATGAAACAACATTTACACTGTGGAAGACTTGAAAAAATACTATTCTCACATGTTTGACAAATATCAACAACAGTAATAATAATGATGATAGCAACAATATAAACACGACGTTTTTAATATTATCATTATTATTAATGATATAATTGCGGTACAGCATTTTGTATTTTGTAAAAATGCCTTGTTTTTAATTGGTGACACAAACGGAAGTCCCGCCTTCTAGTTGCAACTCATTGGTCTGACCAACACATCACCTCGCTCTGATTGGCTGAAAATTACACAACACAGTTCCGCAAATCTATTCTGTTTGTGTTTTTATTGAAAGCTTCAAAAGCCACCACAGAACATAGGAACCAAGAAGACTGCCGGCGTCCAGCCTCGGTTTGTGAACAGCTTTACATGACAGTAATGTCTTCCCGTGTCGTGACGAAAAAAGTCTCTTTCTTCTCTGCTCTTTGTGTTTTTTAAGTGTGCTGTCAGCTAATGCTAGTTAGCCTAGTTAGCTCCTGGGTCTCTATTACTGATGGGCTCCCTATGTAACTTTGGCATTAATCAACAGCTGCATTGTGTTGACAACTGCCATGGATGCTCTGTTACTGCATTTTGTAATTGCAGGCGATGCATGATAGGTTAATAGGTTTATGGTGTGCTTAAAGTATAGCAAAATATGTCAGTGTGTCAGCTGTCGTCTGCAAGTGGAGACGGTGGAAACTGCATGTTGTCTGGCATGTTATTAATGGTTGTTATCAGTGTGATAGTGTTACGTCACATTATGAACTAATTAAATGGATGCAGCTGTGTCATTAATCTGCAGCAGGTGATAGTTCTACAGAGGAATGGCTGTTGGTAAGGGTTGTGTCAATTAATTAGTTTATTGGTTGGCACATTTGTCACATTGTACGAATACTTCTCATTGACACTGGACTTTGACAACACTCGTGTCTGCAGACATTTGAATGCATCTATTTATTTATTGTCAAACCCCCTGGCCCCTAGTGAAACTCAAAGTTTAGTAGAACCGTCGCTGGTGTGTTCAGGGTCTATTAGGGAGGTTCTCAGCAGAACAGAGATATCATTGGTGGACTTTGAACTCAGATGCTGCAACTCCAGTCGAGTGTTGTCCTCTTCAGTTACTGATAAGAAGTTTTGGGGTGTTTCTCTTTTAGACTGCAAACTCAAGCCTACGTACTTGTGACCTTTTATTCCATTTGTTGTGATGTTGAAAAACACAAAAATTTTGGTTGCAAGGTGATTTTTTTAAAACATTTTTTTACTCAGTGGTTTTTCATTGTTGCATTTTTAGGTTTTTACAATTCTTTGTAGAATTCTTAGGCATGTACTATAGTGTATTCTGAATTAAGTTACAATCTGCTTCTAAGCCTCTTTAAAAGACTCTGATGAAAAAAGAAAAGAAAATAAGTAAAGAGTAGTGTAGATAAAACATGTAAAATGTATTGCAGCTCAAATATTTAAATAATATGAACGTGCCTATTTTTGTTGACTTAATAATTACAGTAAACATTCAAATATCTGTAGGTCATGTTGATGTTGAGTTGAATTCTGCAGAACAGAAAGCCGTAATTATTATTAAAACTGTTTCAACTTAGTTTTCCTTCCTTTGCTGTCAAATTGTGATATTGCATATTGTATTAGCACAGTGCTGGCAGCTGTTGCAAAATGTATGATTTGTCTATTTAGTTATAATGAAAATTAATTTATCAGCACTTGGTTTAAATATGAACATGTGAAAATAACTGGCTGGATATCTGGAAGAAATAACATTCTTATTTTTAAAATTGTTTATTTTTATGTCTTGCTTTTTTTCAGAACAAGACAAAACCAGGAGACAAAATGGCATCAGACTCTCCACGCAGACCGAGCCGCTGTGCTGGAGGAGTTTTGGTGCGAGCACAGGCTGCGACGTAAGTTTAGGAACGGCGTAATAACAGTACTCTGAAAAGAATAAAAAAAACTAAAAAAACTCGTTTTGTGTAATTAAGAAAGAGTGCGAGTTGTTTTCTTTTTAATTATGCCATGATGAGGAGTGTAGAGTAAATTGATGATGGAGTTTGTTTGCTGTCACAGGGAGCAGTCATACATGGAGAGTGTGGTGACCTTCCTGCAGGATGTCGTCCCACAGGTATTATCTTCTGGCCTACGTTAAAATGATTTGCCACCATTGTTGTACCGATTGAGATTTATAAAAAATATATATATATTTTTAAAAGAGCTGAATTTAATGTGAAGGTGCTTAACAGGTATTATATAATAATTTCAACTAATAATTACTTAATGTTTAATGTAAACATTTGTCTTTTCACCATAGGCATACACTGGGGCTCCACTGACTGATGAGAAAGAGAAAATAATTTGGGTTCGGTTTGAAAAGGCTGACATCAATGGTGAGTTTTTCCCATTAGTGCAGAGGTTTTGGGATTTTGACTCCTTGTCTTCTTGCTGTTGTTTTTACTGTTCTAAACAAATACTAGGCATAATGATATTTAATAGTAATAAATATTATAAATATTTATTGGTAACATGAATTTGTGTTTTTTTTTTTAATTCAGTGTGGAAAGAAACATTTCTCAATTTGGAAATGTTGCCATTTCAAGAAAATATGGTTAAGGATATAACCATAAGATTTAAGGAGATAATGTTTTTTTTTAATTACTACATTAATCTGTGTTTTCTGATTATCTGTGTTTTTCATTTTATCAAGTTTCATCCAAGTGAAATACGTCACAGCTTGACGTAATTATCTTAGGCATGAATAATAACAAGTGTCAGACAACCCTTTATAAACTTAACAATTTTTATGATTTTTATTTATTTATTAAAATCAGACACTTCCCGGAACCCTGAGTTGATGGAGATGCACAGCGGTACAACTGACCCTCCCCTCTGTCTCATGATTGGCTACACTGATGGGATGCAGATCTGGAGTGTGTCTGTAAGTCACCTTTGTTCATTGACTTCCTAAAAATAAAAAAAATGAACTTAAATTTGGTTGTTCAGTGGCAGTAATCCATGCTTGATTGATACATGCAGTATAAAAATTGTTTTTGACTGTGTATTTATACCAAATATGTGGCTCAGTTGGACTCCACTGTTACTGCAACAGTGGACATGTTTGAATACAAGGTTAGTGATGTGGTGTAATGTAGCTGCCAGAGTTCAAAACAAAGCATCTGACCATGGATGTGTCAGGACATGTCTGATGACCCCACACCATGTGTCAACATACAATATTATCAACTCACTGCGAAAGTGTTGTATACAATGCAGCTTCAGGTGTTTTATTGACTCAACTGTTTGTGATGGACTGTAGGTTCTTGTTTATATCCAATTAAACATCTCACACATTTAAGGGCATTTCACATGAACCTGAATGTTTAGTTTGAGGCTGAGTAAAACTGAATACATATTTACATTAACACAAGTCCCTATAAATGTGATGCATCATTCACCTGATTCACAGACATTATGTTTTGACTGTAAACTGGTTCAAGGAGTTCATAGTTTGCAAGCATTAGTTTATAACTCAAAACATTTTCAATAATAGCACCTGGATTTATTCTGGAGTTTCGTTACAAATCCAACAACAACATTTCCTCAGTATTTTAATTTATACATATAAGAAACTTTATAAGTATGTTTTAAAAGTTCCACAAATTTGCTTTTCATTAAATAGTTGTATTTTAACTATGTAATATAACGTTGTTTCTATAGGTTTGGTAAAATATTAGCGATACTAAGAAATTTGCTGTATTTGATATATTCAACAAATATAGTGTGCACGTAGGAACACTCTGTCTTATATCTTATTATAATGGCATGAACAGAACCATAACAGTACGTTGAGCCTGATCAGCACGACTGAAATGTAGTTCATTTAAATGACCACTAGATGGCAGCGTTCACCAATTTTCACATTTGAACAAGCCTACTGATTCTACAGCTCCACTCAGAGATCCCATACAAATGTGTGCTAGTTTCCTAGTCTATCATTCACTCATTTTCACAATTAAAAGATTATTTTGGTGGAAGGCAGAAAAAAAAATCCAATTATTTTAAATACATTTCTCGCAGTCTTGTGTTACTCAGCCTTTGTTTACGTTGTTGATTGCGAACAGATGAGCCAAAAAGCCTCTGCTGTTTACGGCCTCACATCACAACATAATGATGATTGATTACAGTATCACCGCTGTATCAGAGTGATTCTACCCAAATGGATATTCTACACTGATACTTAAACTCTTTGTGGTTTACTGGGTGCACCTGAAACCAGTGCAGTCACACAGAAGAGCGCTAAAACAAATTCCTCCTCAATTTATCAGGTTGTTCAAATTTGTTCTGTGGACAAATAGTTTACTTTAGTATTTATTTACAGCTGATACAGGATTCAATACAGTTTTTTTATGTTTTTCCAACACTGGATCACAAATATGATTTATTTTTGTCTTTCAAAACAAGATTATTAACCGTATTGTACTTTTATTGCTCACTTTCATACATAATTAGAATCTGAAAATATTTGTATATTTTTGCATCACAATGTATTCATGAGTTTTTGTGATTTGTTATGGTAATTGTATGGTTATATTATAAGCTACATAAATAATAATAATAATAATACTAAACTAAAGTGATCCCTGCAACACACAATATCTCATTAAAAACTACTTTATGTTGATAGTAAAATCGTGTTATGTTTATCATCACTTATCACGCCAATACTAGTAAATATGACTGCCAACATAGTCTTTTTAAATAGTAAGTGCGTCATTCTGCCTTTGGCACAATTTGATCTAAGGCTACATACAGTATGGCCACAAGATGGAGACCTTCCAGTAATGTGCTCTATGTAAAATGCATTATTGTTGGAATGTAAGGCTGAATTAGGTTAAAATTTAATTAGTCCTTTTGAACTAAGTGTAAAACAAAAGCTGCAGCATTTACAAGATTATTTTTTTATTTTTTTATTTATTTAAAATTGTCCCTAAAAACTCACTTGGTTAACATTTTTTTTCGAATCACTTTTTTTTTTTTTTTTTTTTTTTTTTTACTCGCTCTGACTCCCACAGCCATGTACTGTAAAAGGCTTCACTTAACGAGTATCACCTTTCACGTGGGGTCTGTCACTAAAACACGCCGTACTTCACATACATCCTGTAGGTTCTAAACACACCAAAGTCCTTAATCAGTCCCTCTGTAAACATCTCGGGGCCGGCGGCTAAAAGGAGCGTTTCTGACGTTAGCCGTGAAAGCACACACTCGTGGCTGTGATGTGGCCACTCTTAAGATTTTCTCTTGCAGTTATTATGGTGGAGCAGAGGATTACAGCCGTTTCAACCACAGCATACACACCCAGTAAAATATACTCCGAGGTTGTTTTGCTTTTCAGTAGAACTGATTCACACTCACTCATCTTATCTCATGCCGGCCGTTCCTCTTTGTTTTTCTTTAGTTTTTACACGTTTGCAGCCTCTTTCCAGGCCGTGTTTCTTTTTTTCCACAGGGTTTAGAGTAAGCACTGTAGGTGCCTGACTTTCTGGGCCTTGAGTGGCTGTGAAGTGTTTGTGACAGATGCTGAGCCGACACCCTGTGTTAATGGCCCAGCAGAGGCTGGATGAACACGTGTACGTACACTCTCACACAGGGGTGCGATGAAGACTTCTGAGTGGTCGTATGGACGCTGACAGAGGTGTTTAGGCGCTCGAGATCACTGTCGCCTCTCTTAGCAGGAGTGTCATCTGTTGCGGCGTGATAAGAGGCAGACTGTCCGGGGCTAATTGTCTGTCTGCGTTTTTTGTGAGTGTGAAGTGACCTGTTGTGTAGGGTGAGGTTTTCACTGTCATAGGCGATGAGTAAATTAAAAATGAAATAAGTAAACATTTAGTACTTTCTTTTTTTTTTACTGTGCCCCGGTACCAAATGTCCTATGGACTGGTACTGGTCCGCGGACCAGGGGTTGGGGACCTCTATACAATCTTCCATTTATAACCGTCCCTTCAAGGGGAACTGTATTGCTGATGTGGCCCCCGGTGAAAATGAGTTTGACACCCCTGGTTTAAGTGAATATTTCTCTCTTAATTAACCATAATTATCTCTCTATATGCTGCCCAGGGATTGGCTCCAGCCTCCCTGCGACCCTAAACAGGATCCACCAGTAGAAGCTGAATGAACATCTTTGTCTAAATCTGTTATATGAACACAGATGCTGAAGCTCTTTCTAGAGTGTAAATTGTGACAGTAACAAACAGTTTTTACTGTAATCACGTAAAACACAATCTGCCAAAAATAGTTGCTTTTAGAGGTTTCACAGAATCTAGGAAAATGTGTACGGGATTGAAGTCTGTAATCTGAAAAGTGGTGAAAAGAGAGAGAAAATTATAGCTTCTTTTGTCCCTGTGCCGCTACACTCTTGTCTCAAAGATAAAATCTCTTCACTCAGATCAGGGATATGGTGATGTGTATCATCTGCATACATAAAAAATCTGAAGCAGTTTAACAAATGGGTTTATTGTACACTGGGCTTCTACCAGCACCACTATGGACCACTGTGATATTGTTTGAAATCGTACTCAAAACCATGTTTCCGTCCAGCAGCATAGACTCCGTGTCGGCTGTTAACCACAACCTGCTGTGCACTGGTCAGTGAGTAATGTGTGTTTTCCTACCGTTCAGTGTCTCGTCGTCCTGATAGTTAGTCTATTTTAGTAAGTTACCAATGATGGCAGTTTGGAGGTATTTTTGCATCAGGTACAAAGACAGGACAAAGGCTCCCTGTACCAGTTGTTGTAATAAGAGTGAGTTAACAAACACCTGAATATGCCTAATGTCCCTTCTTAGATTGGATAGACAAGGTGTTTACACTCCAGCGTGTCATTTATCAAGGCGACCATAGTCTACTGTAACCAATGTCTGCCTATAGCAGTAAATACTCGTTTTTGTTTGTTTTTTTACCATTGGTTGAAGTTTTAAAAATCGCATGACATGAAATCCCACGCCGAGACACCTGTTACTGCATGATCCCTGCAGCACCTGCTGCCTCCAGACCTCCAATATGTACCGCACCACATCAGTGGTGATTCACTCACTTGTGAATATGGCCCAGATATCAGTTCGCAGCTTATGGAATTACATTTGAGAGATTAAAACAGGAGAGCAGACACTGTGATTTCACAAAAGCTTTTCAGCCACAAATGAAATGAATGTAACAAATAACAGTGTGCAGCAGAAAAGGACTCTGGAATAAAAAAAGAGCAATTTGGCATATTGCATACGCACGGGTACTAATGTAATGGTGGTAATGTTACAAATGGCAACGGATGTCACACAGAGCCATGTAAAACAAGGATGAGCGGCAGAGTAATGCACAATAACCCAGCGCATTAACCTCCGAACCTTCCGTTCTTCCCTTTTTTTTAATCCGGCAAAATTCCATTATTCCCTCGCACTTTTTACCATTTGTCTTTTACAGGAACCCTGCCCTGCGACGGCCTCTGTTCATTTCCGCCATCAGTGCTTGTGTAACCTGCTCCCGTCCTAATCTACCACCGCTGGCCTTAAGCGCTCGGAATAAAACCGCAGCTTTAAATCTGCCACTTTGAAGAGACTACTAATTGCACAAAAGAGCGATCATCCCTCAGATGGGTTTAAAGACAAACAGATTAAGTCACTAGTAAAGTGATAATGCCGGCTTCACTGTAATTTCACGCATAAAAGAATAGTCTAAAGTGGGGCATTGTGCGCTTAGAACAATGTGACGATAAACACACAGGCCACTGAGTTAATATACTGTCCTTGCTGAGGACTACCCCACACACACACATACACACACAGTCTTTTTTGCAGCTCAGAGGGAAATGGGGCCACCTTGTGTCTTTCTGTGCACCACAGGAATGCACGTTTGATCAGTGACACTGGTGAGTGGACAGAAGTTGTGGTCGTTAAACAAACAGACATTCGGGGCTCGGATGTTAACGAAAAGTCGTAAAACAAACACTTTCATCAGAAGCCTCTGGGTTTTTCATCTTTACACTCGGCGGTTTATTTTTCTCCTATAATTGCCTGAATGTTTACGAGCCCGGGTGTTGTGATCACACGCACACACCCGGCCCTAACCCTGAACCTAAATCTAACTCTAGAACACCCTTAAAAACAGTCAAATGACTGTGGTGTGAATGTGACTCTAACCACAGGGTCCTTCCCACACATGCACACTCTAACCACAGGGTCCTTCCCACACATCACACATGCACGCATGCACTCACAGATGTGATGATGAAGTGCATTCATGTCTGTGACTGTAACTGACTATCTTCAGCTTAAATCTGCCGTCAGTGACGATGCTTTTTAGAAAACCCTTAGATACCGTTGTATCATCTCCTTCAACCTCACACATTCACATGACCGCCTCCTGGTGGCTCCTGATTGGATAAAATGATGGCTCTTGAATTGGAAGGCTTTAGTACCCATATACATTTCTACTTTAATCCCGATATACAAATTATATTGGTACAAAAAGTACTTGTTTTGGAATATTTGTCTTCATTTTGTTAACGTTCCACTATAATAAAGTTTTTTAATAAAAAAAGGAAACGTGAAAGTCACCAACACTAGCTGCTCTAAGGCCCTATTTAAAAGGGACTAAAGTGAAGTAATTTAAATGATATTAGGAACGTTTTGATGGAATGATCTCTCTGAGGTCGGGACCACACACATACTGTAGCACTGTGTGACACATTTCCTATTCCCTCTATTACTTAAAAGTGAGTGTGAGAATATTATTTAGATTTAAATTGATTCCCTGCCGACTTGTAACCGTCCTGTCGACTACTGGTTTTTCAAGAAAGCTTATGACAAAAACTGAAGCCTCTCGTCCAAAACCTTCGGCTCGTCTCGCCCCTTGTGTGATTATTTGATCAATAAAGAGACAGTAGTCCTGGGAGATTCTCTGAACTTCTTGTGCGTACAGTGCGACTGGGACTGTAGGATTTCTGCCCACTTGGCATCAACTTGTTTCGCCAGCCCTTCCTCGTTGGCTGTGCCACATTAAGTGTAGGAAGCTCATTTCAGTGCGAGGCCGCTGGGCCTTTTATTCTGTCCTCAGTAGATTTTACTTTGTGGTTTGGCTCAACCAATAACCACCAGACCGCCCTTGTTCCCAATCCTTCTCTTTTACCTCCTCTCAAGTCTCTACTTGACTCCTCACAGTTGGAAGAGATTATTTTTCCTACAGTGTGAACAAATGATGTGTGTGTCCTTTCGATTTGTTGTCGGGGGGAGGAAAAACACAACTCCTTGGATGATTTTATTTAACTGTGGGCTCACGGGATGCATCTGACTCTTTAATGATATTACTTCAGACATTTTTTATTTCATAATATCGTCTCGGTGGCTGCAGACAAGTCTACAGACAAATATGATGTAGCACCCGTTGTTTACCTTCACTATTTTTAAAACAGTTTGTCTCCTCGGTCTGCAGGGTTTTCCTCTGAGGCACAATGATGGAGGTGATATTTCAGAATGTTAGGTTTCAGCAGATTCTTTTTTTTTCCTCTGCAGTTCTTGGCTATTTCTTGGTTCACAGTAAACATTATGTCACCGGGTTGAACTTCAGTCAGTGGACTTTATAAAAGGAAACACCAAGACTGATTTAGTGACAAAATGTCTTGATTTCCTAAACCTTATGTAACTACTGTGGGACATTGATAAAATGTTGTCAAATTTCACATAGTGTATATATAATTATTAAATAAATACATTTGCAAATTTCTGCTTGCATGCGGACTGATGTTATAAGATCTTCCAGGCTTAATCATAAGTTTTAAATAAAGAATATTCTAAGGATGTATCAAATTTAAAATATTAAAAAAAAAGTTGGAACAAATGACCAATACAGAGCAATCTTCAAAGAGAATCCTTTGATTACAATTTGATTTGAATTCTTTATTTTTTTTATTTATTTTTTTCTAGTTGGCCGGTGAAGCTCAAGAACTTTTCTCAGTGCGTCATGGTCCAGTGAGAGCTGCTCGCATTCTTCCGGCACCACATATAAGTAAGTGGTAACGTCCATGTCTTTCATCTGTCATTATGCGACTTACTGTAACTATTTCTAAAACCCATACCGTTCATTTTATATGAGGTTATACAGTGGTCAAAAAGTATGTGTTTTTAAAGTATGCCTGTTGCTTTTTAATTGAGAAAACTGTAGACATTTAAATAATGTTAGAAGGGGAAATTATTTGTCTACTGTAGACATTTAAATAATGTTAGAAGACCTGTTAAACTCATTGGACAAATAATTTCCCCTTTGTTTTCCTCATCTGTTTCACGTGTATTGAAATTGTTAATTAAATATGTTTAAGTTAGCTGAGTGAACATGGAACAAAACAATCATAAACAATGATTGCAAACCTAACCAAACAGCCAAGCAGTTGCCAACACTGCTTCTCAAAGTTAATATTGAGAAACCTTAAACTCATCTTCTCAATCCGCCAAGGTAGAAGAAATTTAAAATTGACTGCTTCCCTCTATAATTTTAGCCCAGACGAAGGAAAAAACCCACTTTGGTTAACTTGATTTCAGCATTCAAGGTGGACACTTAAAATTAAATTTTGTACGGCTCATCCTAATGCAGCTCTGGGTTGTGGTTATTTTAAGTGGTGCTATATCATTAAAATTAAAGAGTGCTCCAGGCCTTCTCATCCTAATGTTCATGTCAGTCTGCCATTATTGTTGGCGTGCTCTGAGTCAGGGATGGCAGTCTCTGAAGTCAGCGCTGCCAAAGCTCCGCTGGAACACCCGCACTGTGCCATCACCGTTCTGACAGCATCCTCTTTAATCTTCCTCTGAATCTAAGTCTTGTTAATAATTCTTCTGCTGGAGGCCAAACTCTTATGTCAACAGAGTTTTCACAAACATTCGTTCACTTCTTAAGAACCAGAAGTTAGGTAATTAAGTTAAAACTTTTATTAATTGAATGAATACACCAACGAAACGACCCGTGTGTTCCTGTTAGTAAAAAAAAAAGATTCAGAAATTGATACCATTAATCCAAAAATGGGATTGACACAAGATAACAACTGGACTTTGTCTATTTATCATTAAATACATATGAAATAAGAAGCAAAGTTAGTCATAATTACAGATATTTTCCCTCACAATTTTCTGTATCAAATATTCAACAAAAACAGGTTTGAAAGACAGTAATTTTTTTTGTTTCTAAAAATAGATTTTTTTCAATCATGATCAATAGTGGTTAATCCACAGTTACCCTGCCATTATTCAGAGTAAATGTGTTATTATTTAACAGTCTTTAAATAAAAATATATAAATGTGTAGTTCTCTTTTAATGAAATTACCCAGACTTACTTGGGTGAGTCACCAAATGTGATGGACATTGATGCATAAACTCAATCACACCATGAGTGATATATGTTGTTTGCAATTTAACCATCAAAAAACTCAAAAGCTGTTAGATTATTTTTCTTAAAGTTTCCCAACCAGTTAATGTTCATAATTAAGTTTTTACTTGTTCTACTAGCATTGCTGTAACGTTCAGTCACACAGTCTTTACTAGTTATGCCACTGATTCGATCTTTTCCAGACACAAAATTTAAATTTAATCTCTGCGGGTGCCAATCAGCCCTGTGAAAGCTGCCATGTTGCTGGTCTGTGGCATTTTTTTTTTTGGTGAGAGAAAATTACCTTTTTGTTCTCTGTCCATGTTCCGGTTAGCATCACACAATGGCAGCATTTAAAAAGCGCTGGAAGCGGATGAAAGCTAACCACAGTAATAAGAAGCAGCAGATAGCCTCGACACATGAGGAGAGCAATTCTCTCTTCAACAAAAAAAAAATACGTATGAACTGGAATACTGCAGTGAAGGACACTGATTACAATCAACCGGGGTGCAAACAGAGTTGCTCTGTGATAGGCCTGTAGTATGGGCTTTAATGGAAGGAGTAGGAAGGTGTTAAATGTTATAAATTAAGGTTTACCTTCCCAGGAATGGGAGAAGTAGTTCACACTTAATTTCTGCTGGAAGTAACTTCAATTATCAAAATGGATTATCTGCGTTTCCGTCTTTGACAAATGAGCAATAAGGAAATCAGATTCTGGAACGAGTGTAGGGTAATGTAAGGCTCAGTTCATATTTTTTCGTACCAGCATGACACAAAAATATGTTCAATGCTAGATGCTGTTGTTTTCATGCATACAATGAGCTTGTTGTCTGTAATGATCAGTTTGGCTTCACTGTTAACTAACGGTTCTGTTACAGTTGAGAAGAAATCACATTTTCTCATTTTAATAACGCTGCCCGCCCCCTCTCCGGCCCCCCAACTAAGTCCTTAACAAATAGACCATGTCACTAAGTCTCCTGCAGTCTTATCCATGTTTTGGCTCAGTGACCTGAAAGACAGTCATGTTGTGGTGACACGTTAAAGCAGAAGTGAGTGTGTTAAAGGCTGGTAGAAAACGGCACTTTTGCTTTTACGCCACACCACAGGAACTTGGGCTGATTACTGTCGAGCCTCAAAGTACAGTTCTCCAAAGGCAACATCTTTTTCAGTCTAAGCCCCCTCCCAATCCCCTCAATGCACTGATCATCCAGCTGATTTACCAATCAGAGTTGGGGAGAAAAAATGGGTTAAGTCCACTTAATGCAACATGTTTTGTCTTTTCAATATACTTCCATATACCTCTGCATTGTAATATATTGGTGATCATCTTACAGGAATATATTTTTCTTTTTGTAAACGAATACAGTAAAGGAAAGAAAAAAATCAGTATTTTGGTCCAGTATTTTTCAGCATGACTGGAATAAGAATAAAATTCTTATCTCCCTAAAACAAAACAAAAAAAAAAGTAATAGACGTAATCTAATTTGCATGTTTCCTATCGTGATAACGGTCTGCCATTAATTAACGGAAGGCAACACAAGAGACAGGCCTCACATATCAGTTGATATAAAGTCCCTCTTTGTTGTGGATACATTATTCTATTTTCCTAATCTGTCCCCCCTCTCCACTCCCCCTCTCATCAGGTCCTCTGAAGCCTGACAGTTTCTCTGAAAAGAGGCCCCTACTGGGGGTCTGCAAGAGCACAGGGTCCTCTGGGTGAGTTTGCACGTCATACAGTTAACATCAATGTCATTCACGGTAAGGTTTAAGCTTTTTGATGAAAATTATTAAAGAGCAAAAAAAAAACCAAAACAAAACAAAGGGTCCTTGAATTGTGCTGTGGATCCCCCACACGTGTAAGATGTAGTCGCAGCAGCAAGTGTTGCTTTCTTAAGATATAATTCTCATTCTCGGTTGTCTTCCATGATATGTTCTGTGTCTTTAGAGTTTAAAAGAATACAATTGTTCTATTAACGACAGATTCTGGATACACCTTGTTACTCTGGTATTAGAGGAATTTATTTTCGATCAAGTTGAATCCAGAGGGAGTAGAATTGCGATGTCAGGAAGATGGATATTTTATTTCTCAAAAAATAAAAATCAAACTATATATATCATGTTAATGATTTAAGGGAAGTGGACAAGAGAGACAAAAGTCTATAAATGTTGGCAAATTGTTAAGAAAACCTGCCCTAAGGATGTATGTTTTAAATTCACATTATTATAACCCTCCTAAGCCAGAGGTATAGAAAAGTTTTAAACCAATATACTGATAGTATGAAATTTGACAGTATTGTAGGTAAGATTTTGAAAAACAAACTTGAATGTTTCCACTCCACTTTTTTAAATCAAGGAAAAAAAATACAGAAATGTCATAATATTGAATTTATGTGAAGATAAAGTGTGATCTAATGGAAGGACTGTTTCGATCACCTACAGATTCTTCAGCTCTGCGGTCTGTTTTGTCTATCAAAGTTGCACAAGAAAAGAGAAACAATTTCACTCTTTCAGTGTAATGACGTACAAATCCTGCACTTTTCAGTTAATATTAAAGACATCACAAGTCGCCCAGCCTCTCATTACGATCCAATCACATCCACCCAAGAGGCGCTGAGCCAGAAATGTGGGCTTAGCAACAGTCAGTGATTTTTTTTTTTTTCTTTTTAAACAACTGCCTGTTTGGAATGTGAGCAGTACCTGGAGCTCTGACTGAGGCAGAAACAGATGTGAGGAAAACCTCAGATTCTCTAGGTTTGGGATGTCATGTGTTTGTTTAGTGAAAGAGATTAAATTTTAAAAAGTGACAGACCTTAAGGCATGTTGACTTACACTCGCCTCCTCGTATCATGCCCCCCCTCACCACCCTTTGCTTTTCCCTCCACTTTTCCAAATACTGCTTTTCCAGAGCAACACAACCTTTAACTCAATATATCCTTCCTGGGAAATGAAATAAGGAAGTCTGACTTCAGCTGGGGCCTGATGGAGACCACCTTCCTGATGTTTTGCAGAGACTGCAGCCCCCTGTCTCTCTCTGACACCGTTACGGTTGCTTCTGCCCTCCTCTGTCCTCCCTGACTTTCAGTCAGGCAGTCAGTGTTTTGACGGTTTGGCGACTCACCCAGGCGTCGCTCCGCACTAATGCCGAAAACATGCGCTGTGTTGAAAAGCCGAAAACCCTGACCTCTGGCTGAATGGCACAGCCCGGTTCTTCCCCTACAGAAGTGCTTGGTAAATAACACTTTGGTCAGAGATGAGAGGGAAAAAGGCTTCCGGGTGCAGCGCTGTACTTTCCATTGGGCCCGTTCATAAACTTACTAAGGTCCTCACACAATTTTTAGCATATAATCATTTTGAAATAACAGCTTTTGTTAACCACCAAAAAGGATGCCGTCTTGACACTTAAATGGAAAACAGATTGGAGCCTTGGCTGCTACAGCGGTGCTGGTTTAGAAGTTGGGTCAGTCAGCTCTAGGCTTAGATTACAAGATTTGCAAATTGAAGGAAAACCAGAGAAGGGAAAAAGCATGTGTGCCGGAGCCCTCTATTTGTGGATTTCCAGCCAGACACACTCAACATAATTTTATCAATGGAAAGGGTTTATGCCTAAAGTCCAAACAATGTATGGATCCAGTGATTTTCTTGACAGTGGAGCTCCACATGCGTCCCTTTCATTCTCTGCACCAGTGCCAGTGGGTTTTGGGAATTAGTGAAGAATGCTGGTGCCATTTCCCAAACTTTGGTATGTCTGGTCACATTTCTGGAAAGGATTTGTGTTTCCTTCCCCTGCTTGTTTTTGGTTATTATTTTCCTATTCAATTCTTTACATCTGTAGGTATTAGAATGATTAAAGATTTAAGGGATGCTTTCTCTCTCTCTCTCTCTCTCTGTCGGCAAATGTAAATTGTCTCCGCGAGACGGACACAACTTCACGGCTTTCACACATCAGAGGCAGAAGTGCAGTGATGAATAAGTCCCCCCACTCTCCCCCACCTCTCACCCCTCTCCACTCACACAGCATCACCATATGCTGGGAGGATGTGGTTCTTTATTCTTTTCACCAGTTTGTTGCACTTTTTTTGATTTCCGATTACTATTTTGAGGTTTTGACCGACTCTAATGAATATTAAGAGACTGTGGCTCACTGTGACTGTTGAGGCTTTTTTTTTCCTGAATGAATTTGTATCTTCTGTGTGCCATGCATTCTATCAGTTGGATTGTTTTTTATTTTTATTTTTAGGGAATTCCAAATTCCATTTCAGAGATTAAAACTAGTCATTACAGCAGTTGTTTTTTCTCGCTAAACTTTTAGAGTTTTTCCAAAGATTTGCAGACTACCAGCGTATGAAGTGTTAATCCTGCTGGAAATATGAAGTCAGTGTTGTGGATTTGGCAGCACTTGTGGTGGCCTGGTGGTCAGAGATCATATTGTTACTCCATTTGGAACAGAGTAGTAGCAATGTGACACGGAGCGTCTCACTGTCTGCTCCAACACTTGTGTGAAGCATGAACCAGACCAGCAAGGCTGAAGGGGGAGGGGATCCACTCTCTTTTGATATCCTTTTTTTCTTAACATTTTTCTAATTTCTACCTTAACAGTATTTCAGGCACCTAACCTTTTATAATACAAGGGATGGTCAAAATGTCAACCTTCATGTATTGCTTACAGTATGAAAGGGAAAAACATCAACCTGTTACAAAATACAGGTGCAGCTTCTGCCCCTGTATAATACAAATGAGATTTTCCCAAGTGTTTTCTGATAATTCCCTAATGATCTGTAGTGTTATTTTAATATATTTTTAAATAATTTCTACAAAAGGAATTGAGTTTTTTTCCTCAATATTAGTCTATATTTAACAATGTAAAATTCTCGTAAAAAATACAGAATTTTTTTTGTATTTTTAATTTTTTGCGATTAAAGCTAGTGGTGGCTTGGTGGTTAAGGAAGCAGACTTGGGTCCGTAAGGTTTCAGGTTCGAGTCCTCCAGCTGCCATGTTACCACTGAGGTGCACTGAGCACGGCACCGTCCCCACACACTGCTCCCCGGGTTAAAAACACCGTCCCCACACACTGCTCCCTGGGTAAAAAACAGTGTTGTGCTGTGTCACAGTGACAAATAATTCACTTTAACTTTAAAAATGACTGTGTGTTAATTACATGTCAGCTAGGAGTTCTTAACACACAGACACACACACAGACACACACACACACTTGATGGCACCAGTCCATTGTTGCATTAAGCCCTTTGTGTTAGAGTGCATTTGTCATAACAGAGACCGGATGTATCCATCTTCTAAAGTGTATGAGATGGAAATCATCCCGCATTTGTATAAAGTGACGCACCAGATTAAAGGGATTAGGAGACATGATGCTTTTTTATCCACCGTGAGGTTATGGTGTTCTCTGCTGTCATATTACGACCACCCACGGTCACATGCACACACACACACACACACACATGCGAGTCCGAGCATTAATGGTGGCAGATGCTTTTAGGAGTGACATAGAGACGATACAACAATTGTGCTGTACGTTATTGTCAAGTTGTTCTGCTTCGTTGTTCTGACGCCCTCAGCTGGTCGAGCAGATTAGGGTCAGTCTTTGTCTTAAATTAATGACCAGGAATGTCAGGTCGTCCACTGAGTAAAAGAAGGTTTTTTATGTTTTTCTTTAAGAAAATCATACGTGGCCTGTTATATAACCCTCTCCTCCCCCTGCGTGAAAATGAGGGTGGCTGTAATCTGGTCTCCCACTTCCCCTTTCTTATTGTCACACATACACATACACATTCATACACACTTGTTCAGTTGCTTGACAGGGTTCCACAGCTCGGGCCTCGTTCCACATCGTTTATTTTGACTTGCGTGTCTGTTTTATGTCAGTCGAAAAAGCATTCTGCCTCGCCTGTTTTCTCCTTTTCAAATAGGAAGCCAGATTAAACTCTGTACTACTGGAAGTGGTGCGTATAAACACAGCCGACAGGGTGAATGATTTGTAATGACTTTTCAAACCTTAACCACATCCTCATTCTCTAAACCTGCCGTCTGTAATTAATATTTCATTTTACTAGAGTTTAAACTTTCCTTTTCCCCCTTTACATTAGACCAAGCACATATAGCTGTACTGATATGCTTTTCATATTGTCGGAGCAAGTCTTTGGTTAAATG